GCATAGTCCTTCCCGAAACGACGTCGTTCGGGAAGGACTATAAGAGTCCAAAACCGGCTGGCCCGAAGGTTACAAAAATACCTTCGATGTTTCGAAGGTTCTGACGAGATCCGGTGGTCGAGGCTTCCTCGGTAAGTCTCTTCTTCCTTTTTCTCTCTTTTTCTTCTGGTTCTTTGCTGCTGAGATCGTTGGTACTAGTTTGTTTTTTTTTTCTTTCTATCTTTTTCTTCTCCGTTCTCTGTCTCTGTCTTTTTTTTTTCTTTCGCAGATGGGTGGTGGCTTTTATAGCCACCACCGGTGTTCGTCTCAGACCGGTCCGAAAGAAGTTCTTCGGTGAGTCACCGGACTTCCAGTGGTGACTCACCATTTTGGGCAAGACGTGTGCGGCTGGAGTGGGTGTGGCGGTGAAGGCTTCTGGAACCAACAACGGCGGCGCTGGGACGTGTCCCTAGGGTATAGATACCCTAGGGTTTCCTCTGGCAAATGGTGGACCGTTGGATCAAACCAGATCCAACGGCTGGAATTGAAGATGGCGGCTGAGGATGATACAAACCCTAAATTGGGTTTAGGGTTTACTGTAGGATTTTGGGTATGGGCCACTGTTTGTAATTGGGCTTCCATTCGGGCTTGTAATATTTATTTATATATGTATTTAATATATTTAATAATAATAATAATAATAATAATAATAATAATAATAATAATAATAACAATAATAATAATGATAATGATAATAATAATAATAATAATAAAAATATTAGTATCTTCAGACAGGAAAGTGCTAATATGCACCATCCTCCTTTCGTGCTTCATTGAGATAAAGATCCCAAAGCATTTCATTATTAGTAGATTCTAATTTTAAACTCTCTTTGTTTAATTATACGTTACCATAGATATTCATGCAACTTTTTTCCGTCGAATTGAGAGGACCAGATAAACACTATTTTATTTTTTAACTTTGTGGTCGTATGGGACACTCTAAATTCTTCCATCTCAAGGCTCGTATATTTGATTGTTTATGTTTCTATGCCTGGTCAAATTTTGGTCCTTTTCTGGGTTAGTCTACAATTATTCCTTTGATGGTTTTATTTGATTGAATTCAAGGATTTTGACGTTTTCAAGGTGGTTTAGATTTTTGCATAAAAAGGTTGAATCTTTGAGAGAACTTGGTGATTTAGATGACGGCCGTTGGGGATATAGCATCAAGGAAAGAGAGGAATTCAAGGGGGAGCTGCAAACATGTTGCAGACGAGGAACATCCCTTGCTGCTGCCTAAACAACAAGATGAAGATGGCGTTCATGGTGAATTTAATGGGGCTTCTTTGCCTGGAGCAGTGTTTAACTTGTCAACAACAATTGTGGGTGCAGGGATCATGGCCTTGCCCGCCATGATGAAGGTCCTCGGCCTAATTCTCGGGGTCACTCTTATCGTCTTTATGGCATTCTTAACCGATGCCTCGATAGAGTTATTGTTAAGGTTTAGTAAGGCTGCAAAAACATCTTCTTATGGAGGTCTTATGGGGGATGCATTTGGAAAGTATGGGAAAATCTTATTGCAGGTCTCTGTTTTAGTCAACAACATTGGAGTTCTCATTGTGTTTATGATTATTATTGGTATGCTTTCATTTCATTCAACTTCAAATTGCAGATCTCATTATTCTTTGATATTCAGTCGTCTAAAGAACTTGTTATGGTTTGTTGTTTCTTGGAGGTGACGTGCTTTCTGGAACAACATCTAGTGGTGTTCACCATGCCGGTGTCCTCGAAGGTTGGTTCGGCCAACATTGGTGGAACGGCCGTACTTTTGTTCTTTTCGCCACAACAATAGGCATATTCTCTCCATTGGCTTGTTTTAAGCGCATCGGTTAGTGGTCTTGTTTTGCTAATGTATGCTGAATTTTATCTAATCGTCTTAGCATCCGAATTAGAACTTTATGATCTTCGACCAATAGAATCTCAATTGGATGGATTTTATTGCAGGTCACTAACTTGCTGTTGTGCTTTCTTGTATTGCAGATTCCCTAAGATTTTCGTCAGCACTATCTGTTGCTCTGGCTATTGTATTTCTTGTTATCACCCTGGGAATAGCAATGTTCAAGTTGATCAATGGAACTATAATGATGCCGAAATTACTACCGGATGTCGTCGATTTGAGCTCATTCTGGGAGCTCTTCACTGTATTCCCTGTTGTAGTCACCGCATATCTCTGCCACTTTAATGGTATGTAGGTCCATTCTGCAATTGAACACTTGATTTAAGTTTGCAGGATAATAAGAATGGCTAATATTCTTGTGTGTTAAACTATCTGTAGTTCACAGTATAGCTAATGAACTCAAAGGCTCAACTCAGATGGGACTAGTTGTTCGAGTATCTCTAGCTTCATGCGCGGTCGTCTACGTATTGATAAGCTTTTTCGGGTTTCTTCTATTCGGAGAAGCGACATTGGACGATGTGCTCTCCAACTTTGATACCGATCTCGGCATTCCTTATAGTTCCCTGCTTAACGATGCTGTCCGTGTTAGTTATGCAGCTCACCTCATGCTCGTATTTCCGGTCATCTTCTATCCGCTTCGACTCAACATAGACGGCCTCTTCTTCCCTTCGGCTAGACCTTTAGCTCAGTCCAACACGAGATTTGCTTCGGTTACTTCCGGACTCATCACACTGGTCTACTTGGGTGCAAATTTCATACCCAGCATCTGGGTTGCCTTCCAATTCACTGGTGCAACCGCTGCAGTTTGCCTTGGATTCATTTTTCCGGCTGCTGTAACGCTTAGGGATCGACATATTAAATCGACGAAGAAGGACAGGATCTTAGCCATTGTCATGATTGTGGTGGCTGTGTTCTCTAACCTGGTGGCCATATATAGTAATTGCATTGGCCTTTTTAAAGAATGATCAAGCAGAATGAGTAGGGCTTAATCTGTTCCCCAGATTGCAAGAAACTGAGACTTACGTTTCATGTTTACTTGAAGATCACCGAGTGATGGAATCGTTCATTCGAGTTCAAACAAATCTGGGTTTCGGTTTTGAAGGAGGTTTAATCACATGAACTGTCTTTGAAAATTTTCAGATTTCTTGGGAAGTGAATGTAGTTTTGTACATCATCCCACCGTATGCAATATCCTAGTGCTTCATACATGAATTTGAATAATGCTATTGAAAATGGTCTTCCAAAAGTTATGTTTAGAGAATAAATTTTATTTTTTGAAAAATAATTTTATATTATTTCTTAAATTTTTATTGAAAATATTTTTCGAAATATTTTGAATGACAGTGATAATTTTTTAAAAAAAATAAAAATTAAATTAAATAAACTACTAATACTTCTTACTCCATGAAAATGAGACGTTGAAAAATATTTCATCAATACTTTATTCATATTAATGTAAGTTAATTGTATCATAAAATAAAGATTAAAGATTTAGGGTATGTTTCGAAAAATAATTAATGTAATATGCTTAAAAAAGTTAATTTGATTTTTATATATTAATTATAATTTTTAATTTTTTAAATTTCCATTTTTTTTATTTTTCGGTGAAATGAACATGGGTTTCACGTTCGGAAGGTTAAAAGGGGGTAAATTAGAAATTTTGGGTCCAACGGTCGTCGACTATTGTGGTTGGACATCGACGTGAACTTTGATTGGATTTAGAGATTCAATTGATATTTTATATAAAGTTTAAGGGTTGAATTAGTATTTTGTGTAAAGTTTAAGGTCAAATTAATATTTTATTTAAAATTCAAGACTCAATTTAAAATTTACCCATTTCCATTAATGTGCCACATTGGAGTTAACGTGTCATAAAATTATAATGGTCGAAAACAAAAGTGACCAAATCATATTTTTTTTTCAAATTAGTAACCAAAATTAAACATGTCAAAAATATAAGGTACCACCGATGTTGTTTACTTGAAAACTAATTATGTTAATAAAATTTAGGATAAACGATATAAAATGTCACTAATATTTAAGTAAGTTTTTATTTTTTCAATTAAAGTTTAAAAATATTAAATTGATCACTAACGTTATTAATTTATAATTATTGAAATAAAGGAATGCTGATGTGGCATATTGATTGACTTTTTTTGGCATCATTTGACCATCTTCATTATTCAAAACTAACCCTTTCTCTTCCATCTTCACTCTCTCCATGTTTTGTAAAAATGAAAGTATCGTAATCTATTTTGCTAACCATTTTATAGGTTTACAATGCTCTTGGGATCAGTTACATCTGAGACGAGAAGTTCTTGAGTGTGGCGGGCCTGGAGGGTGAGCATATGCGAGGCAGAAAGAAAACAAGAAAAAGATGGGTTCAGAATTATGTAGGATTATTATAATATCAGTTGGTCAATATAAGTAAATAGTTGGTCAACTATGATCTTACTTGGCTTAGTAATGACACCTCAACACTTTAAGCGTGTCAAACCAGTTTTCTGTGACGAAACTAGCCGTTGTTAATAGCAAGTGATCGATTTGTAATAAATCGATAATGTTAATGATTAATTTGTTTCGTTTAAAATTTCTGTAGAGAAAACAAAAACTTACTCATACATTAGTGACTATTTTTATAGTTTACCCTAAAATTTATTTTTAAAAATAGAGTAAATTATACGTTTAATATCTAAACTATCAATTTTGGTCCATTTTAGTATATAAACTTTTAATTTTTTTAAAATATCATATCTAACGTTTAGTTTTCGTTTCATTTTAGTATCCCTCCATTAAAAACTTAACACATTTATTACCTAAACTATCTTTTTTGGTCTGCTTTAGTACCTAAACTTTCAATTTTTTCAAAACTTAACATTAAGTTTTTAACGGGTACTAAAATGAAACAAAAACTAAATATTATATATAGTTTTGAAAATAATTGAAGGTTTAGGCACCAAAACGGATCAAAACTAATAGTTTAGTCACTAAATGTGTAGTTTACCCTTAAAAATATTTCCTTAACTAACCTGTTTAGCGTCCCTTGCTGAATCCATTCTCAATCATCCTGAAGTAACCAAACACAAAAATTACTTGGGTTCGCAGCCATGGCTGACAAGGAACCAGAGGTCCCAGACGAGCTTGCCGAGTCGCTCAACGATCTCTTCACCAGCCTCTCCTCGATGGTCAAATCTGAACTCCAGGTTTCCCTACACCCATTCATTTCTCTCAGAAACTCCAATAGGTTGAATAAACTCCAGAAACGTGGCTGTATTTTTCAATCTTTTTAAGGTGACCCAAACATATTTTTGTTTACTGCAGGGGACCAACAATGTTTTGGAGCTATTGGAGAAGATGAATGTGAGAGTGGCCGAAGAATACAAAGGATTTGGGGATGTGGCATCTGGGTTAAGGGTATTTGTTGAACAGCTTAAAAACAAGAGTGGCAACTTTGATGAATATGTTCAACAGATTGATGCAATAGAACAGCAAGTGACTGAGTTCGAAGCTGTGATTTCAGTTCTTGATAGATATGTGTCTTTGTTGGAATCTAAAGTACAATCTGTTTCCCAACATCCTCCTCCATAACGAGATTTTATTTTTTGCTTTGTTTTTGAAGGATAAAATAAAATGAATTGTTGGTTGAATGTAAAATGTCTGCTTTTCTTGTCTTCTGGTCTTTTATTTATCTGTTTTCTGGTATTATCTGGAGAATTTTCGAGTTCTAAAACTCCAAATTTAGGCCAAAAGTTGAACTCCTTTGCCATGTTATAAATATTCTGGTATTAGTTATGCATTGAATTCTTATATTGTTTTCTCTGTTTGATACTTTGATTGAAAACTTAATTTTTCAATTATCTTCGTGAGGATGCATACGTTATAAGTTTCTTCTCTGCTGTTCTTACTTCTTAGTACTCTACAATACCTGTTAAGAAGATGGTTTAAACGATTCTAAGTTCAATGAGAAAGATGAAGATGGCCTCTCTTGCCGTGCTTGGAGGCTGCCACATAAGAAGAGAGGTTGATGAAGGAAACACACAAGATTGACAATGGAGGTAACAACTCCTTGTTTAGGGTCTGTAGCTAGGAGTTTGTTTGAGTAATTGAAGAATTCAAATCTGCAGAAAAGCTGGAACAATGACCAGTTTTGGAGTATTGACTTGAGTATTGCCAAGTTGGAGCATAAATTCACTGACCTTGAAGATTTAGGGTTTAGTCCTCTGGTGATAGGATTAAACAACTCTGAAAGTGTCTATCAAAACGATCTGGTTGTTAATGACAAGACAAGGTGTGTTTTTTATGTTGATCATTCTTTTTCTTTCTAATGGTGCTCTCTTGATGAGAATTGGCTATAGAGATCGCGGATGCTCTTCAGTTATATTAATATCATGTTGAAACCAGAAATGATGAGGTATGTCCTGTAACTCCTGTTCTTCACAAATCCTATTGCTTTGCAGATGCTCTGGCAGTGTTTTTTCATGGCTTGGTGGTCTGATGCTATATATATGGGTGATTCTTTTATATTTGATTTGTGTAGCGGGGTGATGAGAAATTCATCATACAAAAGACTTTGTGTGATACTAACCAGAGGGAGCATCATGAATCGAGTCAAGAGTATAAATGCATTGGTGATTGATCCATATTTGAAACCGAGGGATAGATATGAAGAAGCTAATGTCACTCCTCAGAACCTTCAAACCCAAACTGTCGCAATATCAAAGTTAAGGTCTGACAGGACGTGTGACCTTATCATATTTAAGCCTTTATATATAAAGATTTTACAATTTCAATTCATTACACCATAATAAAAAAGAAAACTCAAAAACAATGTAAGAATCGACAATTCTTTACTCATTTCTTTCATTTATATTTCTCGTCATTAGTTTGAACTACTTGTTTCAATGGAGAAAACACCCAATAAACCTTCCCCCAAGCCCACCATCACTCCCCATAATCGGCCACCTTCACCTCCTTAAACCCCCCATCCACCGTTTGCACCATAGTTTTTCTCAAAAATATGGTCCGATCTTCTCCCTCAAGCTCGGTTCCCGCCTCATGGTTGTGATGTCATCTTCAGCTACAGCCGAAGAATGCTTGGTCAAGAATGATATCATTTTCGCAAACCGACCCAAGTTCATCAACGCCAAGCACTTGGGATACAATTACTCCACGGTTATCTCATCTTACGGTGATCATTGGCACAACTTACGTCGAATCGGTGCCACCGAGATATTCTCGCCGGCTCGCCTAAGCGCCACTATAAACGCTCGGAAAGATGAAATGAGGTGCTTGTTGGTAAGACTATCGAATGAGTCACAGGGAGAGTTTGCCAAAGTGGAGCTGAAATCCATGCTTTCCGACTTGACGTTTAACAACGTGATGAGAACGGTGGTAATGAAGTGGAGGACGAAGAAGAAGCGACGGAGTTTAGGGAGCTTATGGTGGAGGTAGCTAAGAAGAGTGGAACGGGGAATCCAGCAGATTACTTGCTGATTCTGAACTGGTCCAGTTTAGGGTTTGAAAGGGAGCTGAAAAAGCTTGCACAAAGAATGGTTGGGTTCTTGCAGAAGTTGATTGACGACCATCGAAGTAAGAAGCTGCAAAATAACAGTATGATTCATCATCTTCTTTCCATGCAACAGTCGGATCCTGTTTACTACACCGATGAAATTATCAAAGGCTTCATAATGGTTAGTTTCAATCCTTAACCATATTCAACACCATTATCCTATCACATAAAATCTTATGTCCTTCCTGTTGATATCGATAGTAAAACTCGGTTAACAAATTGATATTGTTGTGTGCAGGTGATCATATTGGCAGGAACTGATACATCATCAGTGACAATAGAGTGGGCAATGGCCAATTTGCTAAATCACCCACAAGTATTGAAGAAAGCCAGAGATGAAATAGATAGTTTAATTGGCGAAGAAAACTTGATTGAGGAATCAGATGTTCCCAAACTGCATTACATTCAAAGTATCATGTATGAGACACTTGGGCTATACCCTGCAGCTCCTCTTCTCATCCCACACACGCCATCCACTGATTGTACCATAGGCGGATACGATGTGCCGAGTGGCGCGGTTGTGTTGGTGAACGCGTGGGCCATTCATCGAGACCCGAAAGTTTGGGATGATCCAGAAAGCTTTAAACCGGAGAGGATGGATGGAAAGGAAATTGATATGATTGAAGGTAAAGGAAGCATCATGCCAAAAGCTCACTCATTGCAAGCCTTGTGTAAAGCTCGTCCCATAGTGAATAAGGTTTTTTATTAGTATGTTTTGATTCAATTTGTTCAAATGTTTGTCATATTTGGTTGAATATAGTGCAAAAATAGGTTTTAGTTATCTTGTATTCTATTTTTATAGTTTAACATATATATATTTATTTTGGGACGACCGAATTGTATGTAATTTTAGTAAGAGCTTCCAATGTATGGAATAAAACCAAATTTAAAAAGAAGGGTTATTTTTGTTTTCATTTTTTTTAATATAAAATTGAAACATTAAAGCAAATATGGATGGTTAAAAATTTTGAAAATGATTTTTAGAAAATAAAAATTTGTGATTTTTTTAAAAATATTAACAAATACTAATCAAAAGATGAGAGGCAAATACTAATCAGTTTCTGCAAGAAGCAAGATGAATTTTTGAACAGTTTGAAATTCATTACTTGAAGCTGAGAGAACTGATGTTGCAGGATGAAGTAAACACAACTGAATTGATTTTGTTCCTAAACACAAGTATGTGTTGCTGAAAATGTCATTCAACACCATTGAAGTACAAGTTTCTTCATCTTCAATACATTAAACTGAAGCTCTTGTTTTTTCTTAACCAAGAAAGAATAAAGCAGGAAAGAATGAACCTAAAATAAGTAAGATATCATCTAACTGCTGGCATTGGGGTCTCTAACTGATTTTTTATGAATTAGTCTTTCTTATATACAAGTACTAAGACTGACAAAGTACTCTGCAAGCACCATTAAATATTAGTTTCTAGGAAACTTGGGTTATTAAGATAAGATGAATTAGAGTCAAGAGACAAGTATTGTGATTTTCTCCTCGATTCATCAATTCCTCTCCGTTTTTGGTTCCCTAAATTTCTATAGTTCTAGACTTCTGGCTTCCCTCTTAATTTTCTATATATTCTCTACTTCCCCTCCAATTTTATGCAGCACTTGTTTATACGAATCACACTCTTATCTGTGCTGCTTCAAAATTCTAATCACTAAAACGTTCTCGAATGAACATCACATCATTCTTATTTCTACCATGACATTTTAGTAGGGAAATTTTTGTTTCGAGATGAGCTCAAAGGTTATAGAGGTTGTAAAGTATGATATCCAAGACTAGGACTGTAAATTTTGTACAGCCAACCATATTCAACAAGCATATTATACTCAAAATTCCATGTCATTGAGATTTTAAACCCTTTCAACAATTTGATAACATAGAAGCCATAGTTGTAAAAGCCTATGAGGTGCAAAAGCGCAGAGGCTCACTAAACAGGGCTTTTTCAACACTGAAGCGAGGCACGTAGCCTAGGCGCGCCTAGGCACAACGAGGCTCCGAGGCGCGAGGCTCAGTCGAGGCGCGATGTGGGCTTAAAACCTTGTGTTCCTTCATCGGAATCCCCACTGGGGTTTGCAAATCGGGCCTCGAACTCAAAGAACTTGATGATTTTCTCTTGTGTTCCCCAGTTTTTCCCTCTCATGTAGCTCTTCAGGGAGGCTTTGTCGACCTCGAGTTTATTAGCCGACTTGGCGCACATTAGCATGTTGAGTTGGGGTGAAGGTTGGAGCGATGGAAGTGGGGTCAGGTGAAGGGACAGCCGCTTTGTCTTCGTACGAATAAGAAGGTGAAGAAAAGAAGGAAGTGACTAGTGAGTAATTTTAAACACAAAAGCTATGGTGATGTGTCGTATTTTGATTGGCGGGAAGAAAAGTTTTTAGTTGTCATGGGTTCTTGTGGGGAATGGATAAAGTCATGACGTTGAACGTTTTGTGACCGGTTGATGTGAATATTTGTTTATATTAATTTAATCGTAATTAAAAATTTATGTCTAACGACATTTCTATATTTTACCTTTTCTAAATAATGATTAATATAAAATTAAATGTCTAAATCATATTTAAAATTAATTTTTAATGTTTAAATTTTTTTTATTAAGAATAAGTGTATAACGTTTATTCCGTTATACTTTTAGTTGTCTACTGTTAATAAAAACGTAAGTGACATGTGTCACGTTTATATTTCCTTATTTTTTAAATAAAATATTTTTAAAAATTATTTTTAAAAAATTTGAACGTGACATTGTACTTAAGAGATTTTTTAACCGTAGGCACCTAAGAGTGTAACGGGAAAAACAATACATACTTATTTTTAACGAAAAAATTTTTAGACATAAAAAAGATAATTTCAAGTATAGTTTAGACATTTAATTTTGTATTAAACCTTTAAATTATACTTCCATTGATTTGATGCGGCTCAACCTGTAACAGAAATTGGGAAAAATAGTGTTTAGAGGGTTAGGACTAGGGTTTCATTCTTCAACTTTCAAATCTCAGATGAACCATTTGTGCTTTAGCTCTATGTTTTGTTTTAAGACTTACAAGTCTTAAATGTTTGAGAATGAACTCTATTAAAGCCTAATATTGGATATCTATGATATTTGAGTTTGATTGTATTAATATATACATGTATTACAATTTTTTTTGATATCATGCGCCTCGCCTTCATGAATCCAGTGCCTTTCATTCGCCTCGCGCCTCAAGGTTCCAGGACACTTTGCGCCTCGATGCTTTGATAACTTTGATAGAAGACAACACCAAGTTTATGTAGGTAAGAATCTACTCACAGCATTCTAGTATATCTCCACCATAAAGTATTAATATTCCAATGATCCAAGTTAAACTTTCGGATATCACTATCAAACAATCTATTCACCCCAAATATAAATGAGTCATTCCCAGATTGCTCGTAATCATAACTATTGAACTCAAGGAAATTTCATTAACATTTGAAGCTCACAAGTATACCATTTAAAAATCTCAGATATTTATCATGAAAAATGTCCAATATGAAAGAACATAGAAAACATAAACTGTAAACCAACCTGAGAGCTTATCTACGAAAGGGCTGGAATATACAGATTTCATCATCTCAACTGATGAACAATATTCCACCAGTTCTAGAAGAAATATTCATCGCCTATTCAGAGAATTCTGGATAACCAACCTCAGGCGCCTCCCCAACGCATCAAACTCCGAGACCCTTTGCTCCTTCCACTTCTTCTCCATTGTATCAAAGCAAATCACACCCTGCTTCACGAAGATCATCCGAACCTCCTTGAAACACTCATCAAACGCATTCATCAACCTTTTTCCCAATACCCCATCAAATGGGCAAAACTTTGGAGATAATGTTCTCAAATAAATTAATTCACGAGATAATGCACTCATCAGATTAATTGCTCAAATAGGGTGAAATCTACAGTTGGTCGTAGGTCGCCATGCCATCCGGGCGACATACTAGGTCGCCATTTCTTCCCGGCGACCTACGAGAGATTTTGCATGTGCCATGCACGTCTGAGCGCATCCGACCGAGGCCATCCGAGCGAGCTATGCGAGGGCATCCAGGGCAGCCGAGTGAGGGTAGGTCGCCATGCCATGCACGCCCAAGGCCATCCGAGCGAGCTATGCGAGGGCATCTAGGGTAGCCGAGGGAGGGTAGGTTGCCATGCACGCTGGGCGACCTTGTCCTCCGCCTGCTCTGCTCGCCTACTCCCCACTGCATACTCGCCTGCTCCCGTTGCTCCCCGCTGATACATGCACCTTTATTCGCTGCATTATTGCAACATCATTTGTTGCTTCATGCAATAATTATTGCTGCAATCCATGAGAATCAACGGCTCGTGATTCTTCAATTATTGGTGTATGGCAGCCGACCCTTTAATATATAGGGGGTATGATATGGGGTTAAGGAAGCATAAGAAAGAAAGAGAGAAGAGTGTCGAGAGAAAGAAAATGAATTAGAGGAAGAAGAAGAAAGGGAGTCCGACAAGCAAACATAGAGGTAAGTTTTCATTTTATTTAATTTAAATTAGTTTATTAATTTAAATTATTAGTTTGTTAATTTAGGGTTAGGGTTAGTTTAGGGTTAGGGTAAAAAATGTACTTAATTAGTTAGTTTGTTAGTAGTTAGTTATATATAAAAAAATATGTAATTAGTTTGTGTTAGTTTAAATAGTTAAGTTGCCATATGATTTGTTGAATTTATATTATATAAAAAATTTAGTTAATTAGTTTTTTAGTATTAAATTCTAATTAAAAAATTGTTTATTAGTTTAGGCTATATTAAAGAATAGTTTATTAGTTAAAGTTATATTAAAGAATAGTTTATTAGTTGTTTAAGGGAAAATTCACGTTTAAGTTATATTTTAAAAAGTTTAGTTTGTTACTTTATAAGTTTATTATATTATAAGTTATTATATTAAATTTTTTTGCTATGTTGTAAATTAGTTAGTTACTTAACATTAGATTATATTAAATGATTTTTTAAATATTGTTGTTTAATTTTTTTACAGATTCATTCCAATGGCTGACCAAATTCCACTGCTGATACTTGACAATGAACATATTTCAAGTCATTTGGGAATAATGGTGAATAAAATATTTGCTTAATGAATTATAATTAATAAATATTTGAATATTATTTTATGATGATTGTGATAATTTTTTGCATTATTTAATTGCAGGAGGACGAGCAACGAGTCCTTCGTCTTCGGTTACATAAAGTGCCCAAGCCACACCCATTGATTGAAGAAAACTTACAAGAGGCTGGATTTTGGTATGTAACATTTGTGCGAGATTACAAGTTGGTCTCAGGTTTGATTAGTGCGTTGATTGAACGTTGGAGACCAGAAACGCACATGTTTCATTTGCCGTGTGGCGAATGTACGATAACTCTGGAGGATGTGGCAATGCAACTCGGGGTCCAAACTAATGGGATGCCGGTGGTAATGCCACATGAGTTTAATAATAATGTGGCACAACTTTGCAGCTTGTTTCTTGGGAAATTGCTCATACCACCAGAGTGTAGAGGGTGGCGTGTGAGGTTGTCATGGTTGAAGAATGAATTTCAGCTTCAACCAAATAGTACGGAGCACGAAATTATATATGCAACACGAGCATATATATTAAAGTTGATTGGGGGAATTTTGATGCATGATAAATCCGATAGTTATGTTCACACTCAATATCTTCTTTTTTTAACAAATTTTGAGAATAGTAGGCAATATAGCTGGGGTTCGACGATATTGGCGTTCTTGTATCGTGAGATGTGCAAGGCGTCATTAGTCGTGAATGATAATAATACAACAGAAATCGGTGGATATATGTTGCTGCTACAATCATGGGCTTGGCATAGACTTCCATTTTTGACACCGATTAGTCGGACTGTGGTTGACTTTCCACTTGCCGGAAGGTAATATGAATCATCTATTTTAATATAAAATATTAATTAGAAAATATTTATTTTGATTAAAATTATTGAACAAAATGTTTTTGTTTTGATTGATATACAGATGGAGGCATAAAATTGAAGGCACGGGGTTGGTGCACAACAACATTAAAGAGTTCAGGCTGAATATCGACATTAAGACCAAAAAGGAGGTATGTATAATCTGTTATTTTTAATTATTATTTAAATTAACTATATTATTTGATTTAAATCAATTTTATTGTTTTTGTAATTTTACAGTTTAATTGGAGACCATACATGAATGAAGAAATTTTTCCGTTGATACCGTACGATATTTTAGATGGGTTTCAATATTGGTGTGCTGTTACACCATTGATCAATTTTACTTTTGTTGAGATCTAATTTGGGGATAGAGTGCTAAGGCAATTCCACTTCCACCAACCTATTCCGTGGAGTCTATGGGATCATGACCTCCTCCAAAACTTAGATGGTCGTCGTCAGGTGAATTGGGTTAAGATGCATGACGACCTGCACAGATTTGATGGTCGTCGTAAAGAAAATGTTAATTGGGTTGAGAAGCATGCAACCTACATTAATGCTTGGAACAATAGGGCTTCATTCATGACAACTCTTGACGACATTCAAGACGACAACTTTAATTTTGAGACTTCGTCTTACCTTGCTTATTTTTGGGATAATGGAAAGCCGTTCCTCACAACAATGGTAGAGATGCGACAATTTTTGAGGTTTAAGAAAAGATTTGGTAAAGCTGAATACTCTCTACCGAGTGGGAGTGGGAGTTCATCTCAACAACCTGAAACGGAAATGACCAATGTGGATAATAGTGCACCACAACCGTTCGACGATGCACGATCGTTGCATCACACAGTTGATGATTCTACTATCCCGGCATACATACCAGAGTTTGTGCAGCCTGAGGCACCCATCTATTCTCCTATGTTTTCGTCGACGTATGACTTTGAACACATGGCATTTCAAATGCCCCCAATGAATGAGGAGGATGTGTACCATACTCCTGAGCAATCGCAACGGCCACAACGTATCAGACGTCCATCCCGACATTATCATTCAACAACACCCCAACATCGACAACAATTGTAAACTCGTTTGCTATTTGTTACAAATTATATATTGAAATTAGACTAGTTTTTTTAACCTTAACAATGATTTTTAGTATCAAATCATTATTATAATTTCATTACTAGTAATCACTAGTATCAAATAATTAAATATTAATAATAAATCATTATTAATAATAATTAGTAAATCATTAGTATCAAATCATTAAATATATAAAAATCATTAATAAATTTGACTATGTATAAATTTAAATTTGAGTAGTCCACACTTATACACTCATTTGTTATTATTCCATAATTATTAGTAATAATTATTAAATCATTAGTATTAAATCATTATTATAAAATCATTACTAAATCATTACTATTAAATCATTATTATTAAATATTATTATAATGATTATTACTAAATCATTATTATAATGATTATTACTAAATCACTATTATAATGATTATTATCAAATCATTACGAAATAATCAAATCATTAAATATTAACATCATTATTAAATCATTACTATAATGATTATTATCAAATCATTATTAAATCATCAAATCAATAAATATTAAATCATTACTATAATGATTATTATTAAATCATAATATTAAAATCATTATTAAATCATCAAATCATTAAATATTAAAATCATTACTAAATCATCAAATCATTAAATTTTAAAAACTCTTCTCGAATAATTTATCGACAAAAATGACATAAATTCAACTTCATTATTACTAAATCATTACTATCAAATCATTAAATATTAAATCATTACTATAATGATTATTATTAAATCATAATATTAAAATCATTACTAAATCATCAAATCATTAAATATTAAAATCATTACTAAATCATCATATCATTAAATATTAAAAACTCTTATCGACAAAAATTACATAAATTCAACTTCATTATTACTAAATCATTACTACCAAATCATTAAATATTAATAATAATTTCATTATTACTAATCATTACTATCAAATCATTAAATATTAATAATAATTTCATTATTATTAATCATTACTATAAGAGAAAATAACCTCAGTGACTGAAAATTCCTTATAATATACGATTTTGACCATTTTTTTCGATTTGCCAAAATGACCAATAAAATCGCAATGCGATCTCTAAATCGCAACGCGATCTCCATTATCGCAAATCAGTTTCCAGATTCGCAACGTGATTTTGACTATCGCAATGCGATTTTAGAAAATCGCAATGCGATTTTGACTATCGCAATGTGATAATACATAATCGCAACGCGATAATACAAAATTGCAATGCGATTTTCAAAGCGCTATTAGTATCGCAACGCGTATTTTATTTTCAAATTCCAAACACGAATATTAATATATCTCGTAATCGCAACTTTTAACCTAAAACCCTAAATCATAACTCAGTCCCATCTCCATCTCTCACTCTCTACGGCGACATCCGTCCACATCTCCGACGAAATCCGTCTATCTCCATCTCTCAGAGCCACCCTCACAATCATTCACGATTAGAAATGGAAAATCAACCAAATCAACCACCGAGGGTTAGTTTTTTTAATTATTTTTTTGTTGAAATTTTTGCATTATTCTTTGGTTTTTCATATTGAAATTGATGATAAGTTTACTGCTAATTTCAATAATAGATTAACCATTTCACTTAGATTGCTTATTAAATTCATTCGATTACTGCCAATACTACTAAACTGTTTAGTCTTTAACCCTGTGAAGTTAGTATTTGTCTTTGTTTTGTCTTTTGGTTGAAGTAATGCAATTCATTCAAGTTTCAATTTTAGAAAATGACTATTTGAAACCGAGAATCGCAAC